TTATTTACCTAATAAGTGCGGAAAGTTATACTTTTCCGCACGCAACGGTGTAAGTGCGGAAAAGATACTTTACGCTCGTGTTAGGTACAACATTTTTCCTACAAGCGTGCGGAAACATATGACATATTGTTTTTTTTTTTTTTTTTGGCTGTACTGATAAGAGGAATAGTCAAAAATTTGATTTTTCAATTAAGTTTAGTAACGCAATGATTTTAACAACAGAACATCAACAATTATTTTTAATATAAGTAGAATTAACTATTTATGGTATACAACTCATTAAAGAGGTCGATATTGGTCAGTAAAAAAACCTAATAGCTTTCTCGAAGAGGAAAAACGGTGGAGAAAATTCGAAAAGATCTAAAATTTCTGAGAAGCATGACAAAGAGAAAAATGGAAAAAAAAAAAAAAAACAGTGCGTGAAAAACTTTTTTCGCGCACGCCGTGCAATAAAACTTTTTTCACGCACGCAGTGCGGAAAAGTGGTACTTTCCGCACGCAAATTAGTGCGTGAAAACGCGTTTTCCGCACGCTCGTAGGAAAACGTCATATCCAAACGCTTGTTCCATACTTCTGGATATCGCAATTCTTTGTATGAAAAACACTTGGATTAAATTGGAATTTCTGATTCTTATTATCACTTGGGACAGGCATAATCAAGAAAGTTCAATATACAACTTTCTGTATTATTTTGTACCAAATTAATATGTGTTATCAATATTATTTATTGTGTTTCAGAAGTAAAATGTAGTCACCTGCAATTGACTGATAAAAAGTTTATTATTGGATATTGTTGAATTTATTATCTTTACCTGAAACATGGACCCTTAGCAAAATTACTGAGTAAAGGAAAAGTGTTGGTGGGCTTAACTAAAGGCTTTGATCTGATTACTTTTGAGGGTACAGGTGCTGCACCATGGTTGTTTTGTCCACAGAGACTTGTCCGGCTCTGTCCTTTGACCTGGGAAAAAATTATTTCAGATTAACTCCTTCTCCTTTGAAAGAAATGAAAATTAGTAACAAACATCTGTCCATGATATAATTTGTAAATCCAGACTGTGTCAGACATAGGTAATACAAAATGCAATGAAATGGAATAATTTATATAAACCCAAATCTAAATCTAAATAACAGCAGCTTCATCTACTATAGAAAATTAAAAGTAAGGTATAAGAGATAACAAGATATCCGATAAAGTAAACAATAGTAAAATGATAATTAGGTAATAACAAATGGCATTAGTTAGTAGATTCGTCGGCCGAATCTCTGATTTTCAAATAGCTTAAATTACCCCGGTGCACTTATGAAATGGTATATGCTTGACCTCAACAAATTAGCTTAAAGCTGCCACCACTCGTGTTCGATAGTTTTTAGTGTCCCTATGAACATACTAAAAGTCCCCGTCGCTGTGATCTATGATTGGTGGAACATCCCCAAATCCAGCCCGCCATCTTGATTTTTCGTTCTTTTATTAAATTTGTACTAATATCTCGGACACTGTAAGGTTTATCAAAAATTGTCAAGAGACAAAAAAGTTCCTAATAATGTTTTTTTTGTAAGAGCGATGAAATATAACAACATTCACAAACTATGGTAGTCTCTGCAGACCTCCAAATATTGAAAATATTACACATACCTATGCCATTTCAGCTAACTATTTTTGTTAATATTTTATATACATATACAGCTCTTTTTACGGATTTGGACACGAACTGCAAACCGTTGTCCAGTGTTCCAATAGACGGAGTTTTTGTAATAGATGGAGGCTACATACTTCACAAAGTCACCTATGCAGGGATTTTTGAGCAATATGAAAAGTTCATCCAGTTTCATTATGGTTCAAATTGTACAGTGATTTTTGATGGGTATGATGGTTTACCTAGTACTTAATCTTTGGAACAAATGCGGAGAACTAATAAATTATTTTGTGCTGATATTGTGATATCTGAATCAGTAGTTGCAACAGTAGAACAAGATTTTTTTTTGCAGTAACACCAACAATAAAAAAAAAAATTATTAAGCTGTTAATAGAAAGCCTTTTGTCATCTAATATAATTGTAAAACACGCAGAAGCAATTGTCCAAACAGCTTTTGAATTTGAGGGAAAAGGAGACTTCTGTGTCAGTTGTTGGCCAAGACACGGACTTCATGGTATTACTGCTCCATTTTGTTAAAGATAACAACGTTTTTATGTTACGGCCCGGAAACTAAAGTCAACCAATCAAAATTACCAATATTTTACTTTTACTAGAAGCTTTAGGGCTAGTAGTAAGTGAAATTTCATTTATCCATGCAATTGGCGATAGTAATACCACATCTGCTATGTATAAACAAGGAAAATTAAAGTCTAATAAAGTTCTAGAAGGCAGTGAAACTATTCACTCATTAATTTCTCTTTTCCAGAATGTAAAGGCAGATGAGGGTGAAATTAAAATTGGCGAAGGATTTCTTTCACTTGTATGTATATGGCAAAACTAAAATATCTAAGACGATTAATGATTTAAGATTTCATAAATATAACAGCATTACCGCCCGTCAAAATTTAAAATCAAACTTTGAACTTGCGGGTACAGGTCAATTGCGCGCGGAAAGTACCTGTTACCGATATCTTCGGTTTATAACCCAAAAAGGACAGGGGACGAATGCGCGCGGAATGCAAATTAGGTGCATACCTGGTAATAATTATCCCAGCAGAGGGTTGCCAACATTAGTTTTCAATTTGCTTCCAAATAAGAATTCCTAAAGTTATTGTGAGGATTTTCAATTATTAAATGATTATTGTAAATTGATAGATTTGAATTTATATCCCAAACATATAGTGAAAGTATGTGACTTTGAGAGAACCATCCATCTCACAGTCGTGGTTTAGAAAAACCCAGAGCCTTAGGGCTAGTTAGTGAATATCGTAATTTAGACTTATAGGCGAATAGTTACGCTGGACTGCTGGACATTTGGTTTATTGTTCTTGGACCCGGCCGGAGTTGGCAATGTGTTTGCTGAAGAAGCCCTTTGAATTCATAAAAAGCGTATCCTATAAGTTTGTGAAAAAATAAAATAAATGTTTCCTCTTCATACCATGTGTTTTCCTTCAACTTTTTATAGTTTCCATAGAATGAGGTAGGCGCACAATCGTCCATTGTCCGAACTTGCAACTCTTCCACCTACCTCAGATGCAGCCAAATATCACACAAGAGTTAGGGGAACAGGAGCTCCGTAATTCGTGATAAGTGCTAGTCTTTGTATGTTGGTATTTTTAACGAAACAGAGCAAATCAAAACTTATCCAAACTAACCCGTCCTCTTAATATTCTTTGAAAGAAAAATAAAAACCCTAAAGAAAAAAAAAAACTGAAAAAAAAATGCATTGTCTTCAACGAGAATCGAACCCGACCATTTCACACAGGATCGGTGCAACATTTTGGTGAATTTAGCCACACGCGCAATTTCGTTCGGCATCCTCTGGAGCTCTGTCTGTCTGGTCCCCAGACTCTTTAAAATATCACTGCTTAAGAGTGTATTACCAAATACAACAATGGTAAGGAAATAATCTTAATCTTCTAGAATTTGGTTGAAAATGCAAGGTCGCGGGCTAGTTTTCGTTGAGTTACATCCTGGAAATAAGAACTTTTCTTAGGTATCGAACATTTCAGCTAATCTGAAATTTTTGAAGGAACCACGAATGTATCGAGAAGGGGTCAGATCTATTTTATATCTAGTTCTCTTGAACATTTTTCAAATTCCTATTTGTTTCCAAGATATTGAAGCAAACTAAGAAAAAGTGCGAAAAATCAAGATGGCGGACCAGATTTGGGGATGTTCCACCAATCATAGCAATGAGGACTTTTAGTATGCTCATAGGTAACCTAAAAGCTATCGAATAATGGTGGTGGCAGCTTGAAGCTAATTTGTTTACCCCTGACCCCTAATTGCTCTGGACTAAATATGGGAGAATCCTTGAGATACTCTAGAATTAATAGGAAATAGGTTTTGACGAAAAATGAGGTAGAGAATGCATTGTAACAGCCAATCAAATATTTTTATGAACTTTTGAATAAGAGTTGAAACTGGAAATCGGAAATTAAAATTTTCGTTTTAAGCCAAATCTGTACTGATGTCCAGGAAGCCCAATCTTCTAAATTTCTGGTTTCATCAATTGCAGAATATGATACACAGAATCAGTCATAAATAAAAAATGCGTGTTAACAGAGAGTTACGAGTCTACTTACATTTTGCAACAAAAACAAAGTCCCAATCAACAAGTTGGCAACATTCACAAACATTTTTAACCAAAAAAAAAAAAAATTAATCACAAGATAATGTGTGCTAGCAAAACACTTTTTATAGTTTTTAATTACTTGTTTTTGGATTGTTTAAAAAATATCCGATTTACGTGATGAACAGGTTGGGTCAATGATTTACGTTGAAATGGCGATTTTGTTTTTGTTATACGGGTTCGATTTCAATTTCTCGAATTGATCTTCCGGCTTGGAGAAAATTGTTTTGGATAGATTTCAGATGATTAATCATTCAGCATTTTTGCGTTAGTGAGTTTTGAATATTTCATCGATTATACAACTCACTGTACATTATTCCCATATGACACGAGAGGCTTAATAAGTGATAAGCCTTTTGGGATTATCGCGCTTGGTGGCAATATTGTCAATTTGTCATTAATGATTATAAAGATTGATAAAGTATTCAAGTTTAGTTCGTTGTATAACCTTTTGAATACCACTCGATGTTTCAGGATTACCTAATACTTTTACCTGACACTCAACGCGTTACCAGCAACACCACTCCTCCTTCGGAGTCGTGGTGTTGCTGCGTAACGCGTTTCGTGACAGGTAAAAGTATTATCCGGTAATCCTGAAACCTCTTGTGGTATTACATTCGAAAGTACATTTTGTAGGTAAGCGTATAAAAATACACCATTTAGACAATTTTTTTAAATAGAAAAATCATTCTTGGTGGTAAAATTAAGAGAAAATAAAACACACCAAACAGTAGATAATAAATATTCCATATTTTATTAAAAAACAGTTTTTATAATTTTATAAGCAATAATCAACCCTAAAAATAAAATTAAATTAAGTACAACCGTCACAATTACAATTAAAAAATAAATAATCAACTTAGGAAGCATTTAGCAAAATATAAAAAAAATTATCGGCAAAAATGTTAAAATATTGCAACGATCCAAAAGATGAAGAACCGTGTAAAAAACTAACATGTCACATATTAGAAAATATATTCTATTAAAAACTAATAAATACAATAACAAAATTGACAAAATGAATTTTATTATTATTTCTGATAGGAATATTTTTGAGGTTTTGGTGTTTGCTTTTCCTCTAATGGAGTTTCAGAGCTACCGAGTGAAGACAATCGGGCTAGAAACTGTTCCAATTGATCTCCGAATTGGCGTCGTTTTTGATTCTCCTTTTCTATTCTGTTTAACGATATTTTCGAAGAGGCATATCCTGTGTTGACGAGCTGATTTACGAAAGTTAAAATGGCATCTTCGGCTGGTCTCAATGATTTACGTAGAGGTCTAAAAATTTTTTTATGAAATGATGATTTGAGTTTTTTGTGAAGAATTTGAGTAAAAAATAAAATAATCAAGTATAGAACATTGGAAAAAATCAGCTTATCAAATTAATTTTAATGCTATTTTGTAGTTCTATTGTTATATTGAAGAATTAATCGATCGAGTGATTATTCTCGGCACTTGATTCGAAGCAAGAGCCGGGAATAAAGACTTTACTAGCGTTTTCATACACCTGTGAATTGGAATATTCTACAAAAAAGTTTCTTCCCTTTTTTCCCGTTGGATATTATTTTTTTTTTTTTGGTGGTAAAGATTCCAAATATGTTTTGTGTTCTCTCTCAAGTTGCAGCAATAACTTATTATTCAATATTTACAAATTGTCCCCATTTAATGTGCGTATAACAAACTACTTAAAATAAAAGACTTCAAGAACGAAGTTCTTTGAAAATATGCCTACCTTTCATTACTTGAAGATTCTTCAAAAGACTCATCAAATGAATCCTCTTTGGGTATTCTGCAAGATACTTCTGTGACCTAGAATAATTTAGCAGCAAAGAAATCATTGATTTTTGTTTATAATATCTAGATATTTTGTCTACATTTGAAAGGCCAAAGTAGAGATCATCATCCAAAAATTGATAATGTTCACTTGGTTTTGTCTAGAAGTTACTTTGAAAAGCTATTTGTTCACTTTCAGGAAAGTCAAAAATCGTGTAAGAAATCTTTATTAGACCTTTTCTTAATTAGGTACTTGAAAATTTTATTAAAACTCACCAAAATCGTCCCCAATCCAACAACTACACAAAACCAACGATAATGAAACTTCATTTTCACGATAAAAGCCTAATAAAACAAAACTAAGTACCTATTCACTAATTTTTTTTATACCTATACAACGTTCTTAATAAGCATACTTGACTACATTTTAAACCCATGTTTAAAACCATTATTGTGTTTCGATGACCAGAAAATATGCTTAACAAGCCAATTTTCTAATTAGGTCTTTGTTTTATGGAATTAAACTTGGGCAATTTTCTAAGTACATGGTACAAATCGTATTATTGGAGTGGCGGAGAAAAAAGTCATTTATTTTACATTTTAATGAACTAATTAGTGCTTTCCAAAAGGTTCTGAACATGATACCTACTTTGATCCTTAATACTTCTGAGTTACCTCCTCAATGCTTTCATATTTCCACATCAATAACAATTTGATTACTTTCTTCTTCTTTTCATGCCGTCTTGTCATTGAAGGTTGATGGCTACCACGTTTCTGAATGTGTCTCTCTCTCTTGCAACATGACACAGTTCTTCGACGCTGAGATTTGTTCATTCTTGTACAGTTGTGGGATAAAACTCCCTTTTGAATTTCGATTTTATCTGTTTCGGGTCTGCATGTCCCCCTCAACACGCACTACTGCCATTTGATTGTAGTAGATGTTTTTTATCAATCGTATATCGCTTGGATCCAAATTGATACCTACTAATAGTTTATAGTGTTAGATTTTATCAAAGGCTTTCTGGAAGTCAATAAAACTTCATTCTCTACTTTTCTGTAAAGCAGTACTGTGATAGCAAATAATGCTTTCTCTTGTTCCTGATCCTGCTCTAAAACCAAACTACGCCTCATCCAGTTCTTAACATTTTCGATATGCTCTCTATTGGACTATTTTCAAAAGTACTTCAACAGTACCTACATATACACTTAATACTATGATTTAATTATTACGTAAGTGAATAAACAATTTCTTAGAAAAAACATTAAGGTTTAGAACACTTTAAATTCTATCTGGTAATGCATTAAAATTTCTAACTCGCATCATAAAATAGTTTTCTGTAACAAAGTGGATTTTACCATTAGAACATGAAAATGTTGTCTAAATCTTATATCGTAATCATGGAAATCATCTCTTTCTAAATAAGTAGGTACTCAAATATTTTGGATGCAGATTATGTTCGATCTTATAAATTATGATTATATTGGCCTTTTTTATATACACTACTCAACATTCAGCCAATTTAACGTATACAACCTATTCTCAACATGAGTGTACCTATTTCAACCTAAGATAATCCTCATTACTTTGTTTTGCAGTATTTGTAATCTATATATTTCCTCTCTAGTACATAATGGAAATGAAGCAAAATGATGGTTACATAAATTATCATTTTTATCCAGTAGGAAACATTAGATGATATCCTAGAAAAAAATCCAATTTTTTTCCCTATTTAAATAATCAACATGAGAAGAAAAATTCAGTTGCGGTCACTGTTCAAAATATGTGTAATCTCATAATGGTTTCTCCCTGAAACGGATATAAGTGTGTCGTCCGCAAATAAATTTACAAAACGGCTTTTTAAATCTTTATATACAGTGAGCACGTAAAGGTTGGAATAAAATCTATAAAATATACAGGATGAATATTTTTCAAAAAACCTCGGACACGTCAATTTTTGATTTTATTGGCCGTTTTTCTGATGATGATACCATATATACAGGGTGACCCAAAAACAAGTTATGACAGCTAACTTTATTTTTTTAAATGAAAATACCAATTTTTTATTCCATTTTTAAATTCTACGTTAAATTTTGAACACATTTCATGTATCATGGCCTATACCAATCTTCAACTGTTTCGGAAATGTTGACAGTTGAAAATTGACTTTTTTGCAACTTTGACAGGCTATACAATCTAAACGGTTAATTTTAGGGGAAAACCGATTTTACATTCCTATCTCAGATTTTTATAAACTATCATCTGATACCAACTTTGAATTTAATCCATCATTAAAAATTCCAATTAAATTTAATCTCTGGTTAAATTGAAAGTTAGTATCAAATGATGGTTTATAAAAATCTGAGATAGGAATGTAAAATCGGTTTTGCTCTAAGATTAACCGTTTAGGTTCTACAGGCTGTCAAAGTTGCAGAAAAGTCAATTTTCAACTGTCAATATTTCCGAAACAGTTGAAGATAGGTATAGGACATGATACATGAAATAGGTTCAGAATTTACCGTAGAATTTGAAAATTGGTGTTTTCATTTAAAAAAATAAAGTTAGCTGTCATAACTTGTTTTTGAGTCACCCTGTATACATGGTATTATCATCAAAAAAACGGTCACTAAAATCAAAAATTGACGTTTCCGAGTTCTTTTAAGAAATATCCACCTTGTATATTTTATAGATTTTATTCCAACCTTTACGTGCTCACAAACAATAAACAAAAGCGGACCGACCACACTTTCCTGTGGGACACCTAACAAATTCAGTTCACTTTCTGATGTAAAATACAAGTATTTACTTTGGTTTTTTGATACCTATCCGTTAAATAATCTTTATTCCACATTAGCGCATTTTCCCCTATTCCATAAGAAGCTAACTTTTTAATTAAAATCTTACGATCTACAACAAACACACCACACAAAGCACAACTTCATCATTGTTTTTTTTTCCTACAATCTGCACAGACGTACTGAACGGCCGATTCGCATGGATACTCTCCACTTCTAAATCCAGATTGTCCAGTGGAAAGTGAGTCTTTCTATTCAAAATATTGTCAAAGTTGTCCACATGCAATCGTTTCAATAATTTTATCTACCGTTGGTAGCATATTCACAAATCTGAATTCCAAAGGATTTTTTGTCTTATTAACCTTAGTGTGTGACTCATCAAACGGATTGTACTATTCAGAACTTAAAGACCCTTTGAAATAAAACACAGAAATTATTTAGTTCGCCTTACTTCCAAGCGTCTCCGTAATCGACTGACTCAACCCTTTCTTTGTCGTTGTCAGTTGTTTACATTGAGCGCTCATCTTTATTAATCATCATGTATACTACATCTCTCTTTTTTTTTACAACAAATAGAAAATCACAATATAAACTTATTATATACCTTAACAAACTTCAATTGCAATATGAACAGTAATTATACTAATGTTATGTGAAGTATATAACGTATAACGGACTATGCTTAATAATTAAATACATAATACATTTCAATACTGCCTATAACACAATCTCTTAACTTATTCTAAAATTCTCACAACAAAATATCTTAAACCTAATTAATTAGTAATTAACATGTCTTTGATATTGTTTAAATACTATTTCCGAGTGTCTCGTTTCTTTCTGGTGAAACCGTCCATTCTCCATCAACCTTTTTTAAATGAACTACATTCCTTCTTAATTCTTGTCCAGTATTTTGATTTCTGATTTCAACATCTGATCCCTTTTTATGTATAACGGTATGGGGAATAGGAACAAAGTCTGGGCAGGTCTTATTGTCTCTGTTCATGTCTTTTACATATACTTTGTCGCCTTCTCGTATTGTATCTTTTTGGGCGTTTCTTTTCCGATCACTATATTCTTTGCCTTTTGCTTTTTCTAATTTATCTTTATCGGCAACATCAGTCGATATTTTATTTTGGTCTGCAAGATCTAACAGACTAGGTAGCTTATCCCTAAATTCTCTTCCAAAGAAAAGTTCTCCTGGCGTTTTACCAGTAACAGAGTGAGGTGTGCTGTTGTACATCATTAAATACTCCAAAATATCTTTCTTCCATTCCTGTTTTAGAGCTGTACTTATTTTAATTCTTTTTAGGATATCGCGGTTTTGTCTTTCCACTTCACCGTTCTGTTGTGGCCAGTATGGCATTGAGTGAAAAAGGGTTATACCATTATCTGTGCAAAATGTTTTAAATTCTTCGCTGGAAAATTGACGGCCGTTGTCGGCTGTTATGGATGATGGATAGCCTGTTCTGGAAAATATTTCTTGTAGCAAATAAATGGTCTTTTTGGATGTTATATCTTTCGTTATTTTTATTTCCTTATATCGACTATAATAGTCTATCACGACTAAAATATACTCACTACTAGGCAAAGGTCCCAGGTAATCGATTGCAATATCTACCCATGGTTTAACTGGCAATTCGCGCCGATTCATCGGATTAGGGGGTGTTGGAACTGATACTAAAATGCAGCCTTTGCAAGTCTTGACTAGTTTCTCTGCGTCAGCATCGATTTTCGGCCACCAGACCTTTGTTCTTAGTCTTCCTTTCATTGCCGATATCCCAGGATGTCCTTCATGAGCTGCAAGTAGAACTTCTTTCCTCAACTTTGTAGGTATTACCAGTTTTTTGCCCCGAAGCAATATTCCATCGTGAAATAATAATTCTGATTGAAAAATTTGGTACGTGTTGATAGATTTATCCCATTCATTTTCATATAAACCTCTTTTAATTTTAGAAAATTCTTCGTCCACCTCAGATTGATTTTTTATTTCTGATAGTGATATTGCAACTGGCCGAGAGAATTCTATTAATTGTTGTACAGTTTCTTCGTCAAATGGAGCCGGTTTTACAATGGGACATAATCTGGACAAGGGATCTGCGATGTTTGTTTTCCCGGGTTTGTAAACTATCTTGAAGTTATAGGATTGGAGGCGCAAAACCCATCGTTCTATCCTAGCGTTTGGCTTCGATTTTGGACCAAAAATCACTTCAAGTGGTTTATGATCGGTCACTAAGTCGAATTCCTTTTTCCCATACAAATAAACCTTAAAGTGTTCCACGGCCCAAACTAAAGCCAATGCCTCTTTCTCTGTTTGGCAGTATCTCCTCTCGCAATCGGTCAAACTTTTGTTGCCGTAAGCAATGATTCTAGGCCCTTTTTGATTAATTTGTATCAATATACAGCCTAATGCTACTGGACTAGCATCGGCGATTACCTGTGTCCTATCTATGGGGTTATAATACCCTAGGGATCTTATTTTTGCAAGACACTTTTTTATTTCAAGAAACGCTTTTTCTTGCGCAGAATTCCAAAATTTCTCTATATTTGCATGTTTGCCAAGTTTTAATCTTAATATTTGTCGAAATGGTTCGGTAAGTGTTGCTAGATTTGCTATCCATTTACCTATGTAATTGATTAACCCTAAAA